AAAAATATATATGAAACCAAGTAACCAACATTTATTGACCACAATTGAGAAAGCTAATTAAGTCATAAGCCTTAGAAGCACGAGGACTCATCCCCTCTCTTCTCTCAAAATCAATTTTGCGTCAAAATGTCAAATTGGGTTTGGAAAAATTTCTCACGTCTGCTCCCTCTTCCCCAAGACTCAAAAGGAGCTATGTATGGAAAGTATTGGAGATTTAGAAGGAAAGATTTTGGCGGTAAGAATTTTGCTTCCCTCCTCCCAATTCTAAAAAATATGGTTTTCCTTCCTTAGTTAGAATTCTACAAAAAACCTAATTTTTGGTATTCCACTATGCTATAATAGATACTTGGAGACGAAAATGGCTGAGGCTTTTGCTGCTGAGATCCACAAAGCTTGTTTTCTACAAATTCAAGGTACCCAATTTAGTTAACAGATATCTTTCTTTTTCTTGGTTGTTCGGATTTGGGTTAACAGATTTCTTTCTTTTTCTTAATTGTTCGGATTTGGGTTATCAATTTTCTGCTATATGTATTGATTGGTAGATTGTTTTTGATTTTTTGGGTGGCCAAACAGTGTGTTTCTGGACGTTTGTTGTTTAGTATATTAATAAAGTTGGATATAAAGTTGGATAGGCAACTCTAACTTATTTGGGGATGAGATAGAGTTTGACAAATTGATAGATGGAAAAAAGTTTATTTTTTGGGGGCATTTTTTTTATTTGTTCTGCTTTTTCCATATCTCAAATATGAGATTTTTGTGTTCTAAAAAAACTTACTAGGTTTGTTCTTTCCTAGTTTTTAGGCTCTTCAAGTTTGCTTGCAAAGCATGTTTGTAATACTTAAAACTTCTTTTTTATTGTATATAAGACACCAGCACGATGTTTGTTTAGTGGTGAACTTTAACAAGATTATCCAATATCTACAAATAGTAGTGTTCGCGGGACCCTGAGCATGAAACACATTTAATTAGAATGGAAAAAGCTAGGTCAGAATGAGAGCTTATACTCATCTGCAGGAAAGGATTTGAACTGTTAAAAGAGATCATATATGACTAAATGACAGGGGATGAAGCTTACCTCTAGTAGAAGGTCCTTTGTATTCCTTGTCAAGATCAGATATTGCTAACAAAAATGGATGGAGATTATTTCATATAGAAGGTCTGCATTCATACAGGGCTGCCCTTATCGACCCTACCTGCCCAATTTTTTGGCACTCCAACTTATACTAGATAAATAAAATGCAGGCCTCACAACAAGTTTGTTCGCAATCTAGCAGTAAAGTGGAGAGTTCCACCCATCTGACCTTGTTATTGCTCTCGGTGATGGCACCATCTTGACTTCATGGTGGATTGCCAAGCCACACACAAGTATCATGGCTTCTAAATAGACATACTACACTCAGGCACAATGTTCAACAGTTTTCAGTACATACAAGGGTTTATATAATAACCTATTGAAATACAATAACAAGAAGTATATTTATATAGCATTGCATGTATGCAAGTATATAAGCTACATGTTTTCAACCCAAACTCTACTTCTTTTCATTTTAACAACTCTAGCTTTTGCACCTCTCCCCCATAGTCCCATTTGTGTACTCAAGAAATTCCAAAACATGCAGCAAATAAACTCCAAAATATTCCCACATCAAAGCATGTATGTATAGAAATAATGGTACTATTTAAAAAGATTGGATTAGTATGATCTCATTTACTAGTTCAATCTAAAATAGATCTAAATCAAGTTCAATCAAACATCAATTTGATACTTGTTTTTCAAAAGTTATATTTACTTAAGATGTCAATTATGGTATTCTATAGTCCTATATGCTTAGTTTTGATAAAATATTAAATATTGTGGCGATAGAGTGAACTAGTTTGTAAGATTCACTTGAAAAAATAAAGAAACTACATGTGTTTTTTGCCATGCTAGATGAATACATTTGTATAGTCATTAGTAAAGTGTATACATTATAATATATATTCGTAGTCTGTGATATAATCTTTCTAGTTTCTATCTATAAGTACTCTTTTTTAGCTGATTTTTTTGCTATATGTATAGGTTATTCTTAATGGATAAGAGTTGGATAAACATATTGAATAGGAATGATCCTCTGTATGAGAATGGAGCCAAAAAGTTTCTTCATTTTGCTTCATTAGATAGGCCTAATGCATCTGAAATCTTGTGTCCATATCGGAAGTGTCGTAATATGAAATTTATCTTGAAAGAGTTGATTGTTGAACATATTGTGGTTGATTGATTTCTATCTAGTTACGTTAATTGGATTTTTCATGGTGAGGCATCATCTTCATCAATGTCTGTGGATAGATTAGATAGAGGTGATGAGATACATGGCTTGTTGCATGATGCTTTTGGAGTTCCTCCTACTAGTGACTTTATTAATATGGACACTCGTGGTGATAGCTTTGGTGGGTCAAATCAACATAATGTGGGATTGAAAAAAAAACTGAAAAGTTTTTTAACTTATTGAAAGAAGCTGAGCATGAATTATATCCTGGAAGCAAATGTTCACTTCTTTCTTTTCTTGTTCGTCTAATACATTTAAAGTGTCTCAATGGGTGGAGTAACAATTCATTTTCCATGTTGTTAGAGTTGTTAAAAGATGTGTTTCCTGAAGGTGAAATATTACCTAAGTCCTTTAATGATGCAAAAAAATTTATTAAAGATTTATGACTTGAATACAAAAAATACACGCGTGTGCAAATGATTGTATGATTTATTGGGGTGACACAAAAGATCAAACTGATTGTAAGTTTTGCAAAGCTCCAAGATACAAACAATTTGTAGGTGAATCTGGTAGTTTAGAAACCTTAAAGATTCCAGCAAAGGTGTTTAGATACTTCCGATTGATACCGAGGCTTCAAAGATTATTCATGTCATCTAAAACATCTACTGATATAAGATGGCATGCGGAAGGTCGCACTAAAGACGGGGTAATGCGGCATCCTGCTGATAGTATTGCTTGGAGAAAATTTGATGAATCGCATCAAGATTTTTCTCAAGATACTCGAAATGTTAGACTTGGATTGGCTTCAGATGGATTTAATCCATTCAAGTCTATGTCTATCTCACATAGCACATGGCCAGTTGTCTTGGTTCCATATAACTTGCCACCTTGGTTGTGCATGAAGCAACCATACATGATATTATCAATGATTATTGATGGCCCTCGTGCACCAGGCAATGATATTGATATTTATCTACGACCGTTAATTGATGAGTTAAAAGAATTGTGGGTTGGGGTTGACACTTATGATGCGTCAAAGAATCATATGTTTCAAATGCGTGCTTCATTGCTTTGGACAGTCAGTGATTTTCCAGCACTAGGTAACTTATCAGGATATGGTGTGAAAACTAGATATGCTTGTCCATGTTGTCTGACCAAGACTAAATTTCTGAGATTGAAATATGGGCGAAAATATTGCTTCATGTCGCACAGGCGTTAGTTACCCCATGGGCACAAGTTTCGAAAAGATAAAGTTTCGTTTGATGGTTTTAAGGAGTTAGAGGCAACACCTAAATGTTTGTCAGGTATTGAAGTTCTTAAGCAATTAAAAGGTATTAAAAATAAATTCGGAAAACATCTATTGGCAAAGTCCAAGAAAAGAAAATGGAAGAATTCTGATCATGTTGACGATGCCATGTTGCAATATTTATGGAAGAAAAAGAGCATATTTTTTGAGTTAGACTACTGGAAAGACAATATGATTCGTCATTGTGACGACCCAAAGGGTCATCACCTGCATTCCTACTCCCTCTGTACTTCTGAGGCCCTGGAAACCTCATTTGGGGTTACCTCGAGTTGTGTGAGCAGTCCGGGCGCGTAGCCGGAAAAGTTTAAATATGAAATTTGTGAGAAAAATTGTTAAATCTTGGTATTTAATTGATTAAGTTTGACTTCGGTCAACATTTTTGGCAAACGGACCCAGACCCGTGATTTGATGGTCCCGGAGGGTCCGTAGGAAAATATGGGACTTGGGTGTATGCCCGGAATCAAGTTCCGAGGTCCCAATCCCGAGAAATGAATTTTTGTGTGAAATTGTTTCTGAAAATAATTAAGGAAATTGGAAATGAAATTTGATTAAAAGACTGTGGTATCGGGCTCGTATTTTGGTTCCGACGCCCGGTACAAGTCTTATATACGACTTATGTACTTTCTGTAAAGTTTGGTTGAGTTTGGACGCCGTTTGACGTGTTTTGGACTAAAAACTCTAAACTTGATGTTTTATGAAAATTGGAAGAAGATCCTGGGTCTTGAGGCCTAATTTGATGATTAAGATGTTGTTTGGGCGATTTGATCGCACGGATGAGTCCGTAGGATATTTTTGAGTTTATATGTATGTTCGGTTTGGAGCCCCGAGGGCTCGAGTGAGTTTTGAGTAGGTCCCGGGAGGTCTTAGGCTAGAAATATCAGATGGTTGCAGGTTCAGGTGTTGCAGGCCCCCAGCGCGGCCGCGGTGCATTTCTGCGCGGTCCGCGTGGCTAGGTTCAGAGAGCCAGTGAATTCTAGGTCAACCAGCGCGGCCGCGCACCAAATCAGTGCGGTCCGCGCTGGGTAGGTTTAGAGAGTCATTTTTCTTCCCTTCCTCGGCGCGGCCGCGGTGCATTTTTGTGCGGTCCGCGCCAGTCTTCAGCACAGTATATAAAGTCGGGATTTTCAGTCATTTTTCACTTTTTCAAAACCCAAAACATAAGAGGCGATCTTCCAAACGATTCTACTTCTTCAGAACGATTGGTAAGTGATTTCTAACTGATTTTCTATACTCCTTAACATCCTTAAACATAATTTCAACTTCAAAACAAAGATTTTAATGGGAAAATTGGGAATTTAGG